TAAAGCTTCCGCATCCTAGAAGCCTTGAGGGCTTAGTTCCAACCTTGGTGAGTTTGCATGCTCATTAGGCTTGGGTAAGACTTACTTAGTCATAGAGAAGTCCTAGAAGTGTCAAGAAGCGTCTAAAGCCCACGACCCGTCATACCTTAACTCTGATATTACGAAAATTTGAGCTTGAAGGTTCTAAGGGCGTGACACTAACAACATGTCAAGATGGCCGAGTTGGTCTAAGACGCTAGTTTCAGGTATTAGTCTGAAAGGGCATGGGATCAAGAATCTCATTCTTGACAAACACATTTTAATATACATAATAATAGTTTGGCTTAAATTAAAGTCCTTAAATTATGTTTTTTTACTTTAAATTCTTAAATTATTTTTTTACCAAAATAAATCCTTAAATTATTATATAATATTTTAAGTACAAAACTATTTTTTTTTATCAAAAACACCCCTAAATTTTGTTACTTTTTGTTTAAAGTTCCCAAACTATTTTTTGATGTCAAAACAAATACCTAATTTTGTGTAACATGCCAACATCTTATTAACCAAAATAATCTTTTCTAATTGAAAAATGACTTAACTTAGAAAGGTTACATCTAGTTTAAGGGCTTATATTGATAAAAGAATAATTTATAGAGTTAAAGCAAAAATAATACATATTTTAGAAATGGCTTAAGGGTCACCTTTGTCCATGTTCTAGACCCAATTTATCATTTTCGCCCCTATCTTATTTTCGCATCAAATTAGCCCTCAAAACTACTTAATTACATCATTCTATACCATTCCCCTAACTTAAAACCCTAAATTATAAACCCCAAGTTAGTGTCTAGAGGTAATAGGGTTATGATTTAGGGTTTATAGTTTATAATTTGGGGTTTTAAGTTAAGGGAATCATATAGAATGATGCAATTAAGCAATTTTGAGAGCTAAATTGATGCGAAAATACGATAGGGGTGAAAATGATAAATTAGGTCTATTATAGGGGCAAAGGTGACCTTTTGCCTTTAGAAATTTATTTTACTTTAAGCCTAATAGTTTCTAAGATCAACAATCACAACTTAGGGAATGTATTCTTTTATTGATAATAGAAGAAGCAGTTTTATTAAAAAGGAGAAAATATCTAAAAATATAATGAAAGTATATAACTAAACGTAAACTAAACTTATAATTAGGATATTTCTTATTACTATTGACATAAAAAATTAATCACTTGTTATCACATATAAGAAAAACAATTCATCCTAAAAACTTGAACAAAATATAAATATGAATGGATCTAACTAAATTGATAAAAGAACCCCAACAGGAGATTAAACTATTGAAATATCACCGAAAATCACAAAACTAGAATCGAATGTTATGAGAAAGTTATCTCCAAATATAAACTACGTATCCAAATCTAATCCGACGATTCAAAACAGAAACTCAACGAAACGTTATATATGATTTAAAAAATAATAATTCATCATATACATGAATATTTACATATTTTTCTAACAAATAATAATGGATGAAATAATTCAAAAAGCCAATCATCATCTCCATAATATTCCAACCTTTGAAGTCAATTTCAGATCAATTACGAATTTTAAATATGAATTGAATATATAAACGAAATTGTTAACAATTTTTTTTATAAAAGTTGTTGGTTTTATTAAAATGAGGAAATATCCAAGATTAAAAATAAATTAGTTGTTTAAAGATCACATAATAACCATATAAAGAGAAGGTTTAAAATATATAATAAAAAAACTCGAACAAAAGATGAATGCGAACAGATCTAATCGTATCAGTAAATGAACTACAAAAGTAGATCAAATCTCTGAAAGACCACCGACAAACCGCGAATCAGAGTCGAGCGACATTAGAAAATTATCCACGAACTCACATTGCATATCCAAATCCAATCCGATAGTCAAAAGCAAGGAAGATCATCGTGATAACAAATAATCACAATCTTAATCAGTCATGGCGATGTTGAATCTAATCCTGAAAATAATAAATAAAAATAACATTTCACGACCAAAAGACAGATAAAACATGCCATAAAAATAAAATAAAATATATCATAAAGACATATTTATTAAAAATAAAAAAATAAAGATGTGATATAAAAAAAATAGACAAAGAGGGAATAGAAGTGGAGAAGTGGAATTTAATTTGTTGGTTACTTTGTCCCTTTCAATATCTCAATGTATTTGGTGATACAAAAGAATCATATGCTAATGTTATTCCCTTGCCTTTTAAATGTGGTTGGTCCATCACCTCTTTTTTTTCTTCCCTTTTCATCATCATTATTCAGTATATATTCAAAACCTTAATTTATAAATGTTTCTAAAACATAAATTCAAATAAATAAATAAAACTAATTTTATAACATTTTTTAGTTATTTTTGAAATAAAAAATCCTTATTTTCATATTATAAAAAATAAAATTTAGTTATAAAAGATAATGAGATTAAAATTTAATTCGATTTAAGTAATTATAGTTTTAAAACTTAAAAACTCTAAACCATCAAAATACTATGATTCGATTTGTTTTTTAGTTTTCTTTATTTCTTTGATAAATCATAATTTCAACCTAAAAAATATAAGACATAATAACAAAATTAACCTCCCAATCTTTACATGAATAGTCATTTTACCTTATATTCTTTTTTAGCATTTCAATCCCAACGTTTTATTTTTCGATTAAAATAGTCATATTAGATGGAAATCGTTCATTAACTAATAATCCAACATATCCTGTTAGCAATATTTTAACCAAAAACTGGAATTTTAAGGGCTAATTAATGTTATTGAATATTTAAGGTACTCGTGGATCTCCTGATCGTTCGCCTGCTCGACCCAGTTCCTCTCGATTTGTTCTTCCGCGAGAGCCTGTGAATACTCGTATAGTTCTGTGATCTTGTTAAATATTTAGTTTAGATTATTACTCTGATTATAACCTTTTTCTGTAATAACTTAGGTTCTCGTTCAGTCGAAGAGAGTAGTGAAGTTGATGCTCGATAGATCTCCCATACTGATACTTTTTACGAGGTGTGTTCCTTGTGTGTCATATACATGTTTTAAATATATGTTTGAAATATCATGTGCACATGATTGTTTTAACTGATTTGCAATGTGTCTATCTATTTGACTTGATTTCGTATGATTTATATGATTTAAAGTCTGATTTTCGATTTACTAAAGTAAGCCTGATTGTTTATTTTCGATTTACTAAAGTAAGTCTGATTGTTTGATTCCTGTTATCTGGTTATTGTTTTTACTGATAAATAAATATGTCTAAACTATGATTTCTTGCTACCACTGATTATTGTCTGAAAAATATTTTTATCCGGGGTACTCTGGGATCTGGTATGAAGTCTCTGCAGGTTCAGCTCGTTTAAACTGGTAATTCCTTATATAGGTTCAGACTGATTGAGCTGATAATTCCTTATGGACCTAAGGCGACTCTTGGGTGGGCTCACAGGCCTAATGAGCTTAGTGGTAAGACCTTATAGACCCTAAAGTACTCCTTTAGGGTGGCACCTTTGCTATGTGCATTGAGTAAGTCCTTATGGGCCTGAAGGTACTCCCCTCAGGTGGGCACCTACACTTCAACTAGGGTAAGATCTTATGGACCCAATGTGCTCCCTTAGGTTGGCACTTACTCCCTTTGGGCCTAGGGTAAGTCCTTGTGGATGCAGTTCTAGAGAATTGCATATGGTGTTCTGTTGGAGGGCGATTATGTATTTTTAAACTAAAAACACTACTGAAATTTTCATAATTTGGAACTGAACTGAATTGGAAACTTAATTGTATGTTTTATTTATGCACTGTTGGAACACACTGAGCTCCCTAGCTCACTCCCCCAAATTTCTCTTTTTCAGATACTTTTTGATAGGCGACCCGTACCTGACCCTTGGAGGATCGACACATTCGTACTGTACCTTTTGTTGTAATGTTTTATCTTCCGATTTACCTTTATTTGGGTGACTTGTGCCTATATTTTGAAAATGTTGGAATATTTTATTTTATTCAGTTTTTGCGACTTTAATTATCTGGAATTGAATTTTAATGTTATCAATTATATTTTTAAATATATTTATTCGTAATATGGTTTTACATTATTAAAAAATGTTTTGGAAAATTTTATCGTAATCCGCTAGATCTAGATCTAGTTATATCGCATAGGTCGGGTATAGGGGTTACACTATTAGGCAAAAAAAAAAAAACCTAATATCTCCATTTTAAGCCCATTTTCAATCCACCAGCCTAAAATGAAAGGATCATCCAAAACCGTGACTGCTGGAAGCAAAGCCTTCAATAATAATTGCTGGGACGTGACTGCACCAATGAGGCTGAGTCCTTGACAATTCGCTGGACAAAAGCAATGAACATAGTTCAAATGTGGTTGAGAACAAAGATGAAGACTTAACTAGGTATCTATCTCATTGCAGCCCAGATAAAATTCATATACATCGCTATTAGCTTTGTGAGTGATTAATTCTCGACCCATGATTTGATTTATTGACGATAAAATTTGGAATAAAACAATTGTAGGCAGTTTATCCCTTCTAATTTGAGTGAAAAGTCACGATTGGTGATTTTTGAGAGAGTGACGAGCTGAAAATGATGAACTTTGTAAGAATAAAGAAGAGAGAACAATATTCCAGTCCCTTATTCAATCGTGTACGATAATTTATATATTGATCATTAATATTGATGTCAAACCTAAGATAACGATGTGAGACTTAAGATAATGATGTCAGCTCAGTCAATATTAGGCAAATATAAACACAATTAAAGAGATATTAGATGGATATACATGAGATTTATTAAAAACCAAATGATGATAACGATGAAGATACGGACACGTTGCCATATTAATAAGCAGAGGACGGTACCAAATCCTTTTGACTTCGCTCAACTCTCTCTCTCTCTCGCTATTTATACGTGTACGTTCCCATACGGACTTTGCTGCACCATTTCTCTCTGTATCATTTTCGGGCAAAAACATGGGAAGAACACCTTGTTCTGATAAAAACAGCCTCAAAAAAGGGCCATGGACACCGGAAGAGGATCAGATGTTGACTCATTATATTAAAAAACATGGCTATGGAAATTGGAGGACACTCCCAAAGAACGCCGGTAATACCCTAGGCGTTACAAGACACTGTGTTTTCATTATCTTTATGTTTTTTTTGGGTTGAAAATTTTAATGCGTACTTTAGGGTTGCAACGATGCGGGAAGAGTTGTCGTCTTCGATGGACTAATTACTTGAGACCTGATATCAAGAGAGGAAGGTTCTCTTCTGAAGAAGAAGATATTATAATTCAGCTACATAGTATATTAGACAACAAGTAAGTTTTGGTGTCGGATTCTTAAACGGGAAATAAGGAGAAAAGAATATCGAATTTCTTATTACTCGACCGACGAAGATGTTTTTAGTTGTGTTTCTCTTTGTTTTTTCTAATGTTGTTTGTTTTTAGGTGGTCTGCTATTGCTGCTCATTTGCCGGGGAGAACGGATAACGAAATAAAAAATTATTGGAACACTCGCATTAGAAAGATTCTGCTTCGAATGGGGATCGATCTGGTGACTCATCGTCCTCGGCTGGATCTTCTCGACCTCTGGTGGATCTTAAGCTCGTCTCTTTACAACCAAACCCAGGTTTTCCTTAATCAGCCATTAACGCAATCTAATGAAATCCCAACATGTAGTGTTCCATCTTGTAACGAAACACAGCTCGTGAACCCTAACGTGGACCATAAGTTTCAATCCGATATCAGTGGCTTGAGTGGCTATCAAGGCAATGCCATTGTAACACCCCCAACTCGTACCCGACCTGAATACGAGTCCGAGGTGTTACATTGACCGTTCAAAACGTTTACTTTGACAAAATCTAATGAAATTCAGTTAGACATTTCCAATAAAATCCAAATAATTTCTATTGTATAAAACGTATGGTTTTACAAATTGATCAGAGCGTATCCAGTACAAATCTTTTATCTTACATGCCAACTACATTTCATATGACAAAATACATATAATTTAAACATATTTCTGATCTGAATTGTGGAAAGGAGAATCTGACCTGTCTTGCTCCTCTAAACTTCTCTTCTTGCTTTCCGGAACCTACGTGAGAAACACTCACACGCTAAGTCTATGACTTAGTGAGGCATTAAACACATAAAAATAACTCTAACTACTTAATCATGCATGAACATATCATATAATGCTATCACACAAAACAATATAGCATTTCATGTAATCAAATGTACACATATACATTCATCCTTTCCATCATTAACCTTACTTCACTATCAATATGCTTATTATTTATATCTTGTAATCATATCCTTTTGTACTTAACATTTTAACCAACATGACTCATTTAACCACGCAATACACATATCATCATTAAAATCATATGATACAATTCATCTCACAAAAGCATATACATCACATGTAATATATTTATCGTTATATCTTTGTTTAGCCCATGCACATTTCTGAGAGTTAAAGATACATGAGTACATAGAGGTTGTGCACTATGTTGTCACCACAGCTCGTAAAATTCCCACTAAGGACGCGTAGATTTTTCCCAGAGGACCACTATGTCCTGAAGAACCACTAAATATGTCCTGAAGGACCACTATGTTCCGAAGGACCACTGTGTCCCGAAGGACAGCGTAGACCCTCGACTCTTGGCATGCCAACTATATCTCTAGATCTCATAACACATAACATGGGCATTATCTTTATATCGTTTCACATAGTCATATCTCATATGCTCATATCTTTTATCATATCGTTTCCCATCTTCATATAATCATATGATTCACTTTCACGTATCACATATACTTTCTCTTTCATATATCTCATGTCATATATCACATGGCTCTTTATCTCATTCTCATATGATCACATAATCATGTAGTTCACTTCTCATATCACTTTGCATGGTTTTACATAAACATATATCATATCTTATTCATATATATATATCCGCAAATAAATGTAAGCACATATTTTCTTATCTTATAACTTATGTTACATATGCCTGTAATCTTATGACTTATTGTTAAGTAACTCATACAATCAAGCATACATACATTTCATATTAATCACATACTTCATGTGCTATACTATCGGAATAGACTTATCGCAAGTCAATTTCCATATAATCCTATGCAATAAGATGCACTCACCTTGGCCTCACTAAGTTCCAATCCCCTTTTATGATTTCCTTTCTTTCGATCGAATCTTAACTTGATAGTCGTCCTGGAACTTGTTTGCGTTCGATATCTACATAATCATGTACGAATACTTATAATTATCCAATTGATATACTTTAATCTATCATTTCTTAGAATGAAAGAAAGATTTATTCCATTTCCCATTGAAGTGCATCGGTACACTCTACAGTGTATCGATGCACTATCCATGCATCGATACACAAAATACATTCGATGTTTTAATCTTAAGGGGGTGCATCGATACACTCCTCATGCATCGATGCACTAATTGCATTCGATGTTCATTTATTTTAGAGTACATCGATACACATTGAATATGCATCGATGCACACAACCCATAAATTACATTTTGAGACCGAAAATTCTTACTTTGACCTTAAATTATACTTATTAACCCCTCCTTATGCCTTAAAACTCATCTATACATATGTAAACCTTCTTATAACACTATAACACTTCACTATATCTCATAATTCACCATAATTCTTGAATCAAAGAATCTCATCAAATTTTCCATGTGTTCTAAATTCAATTCTATCACCTCTGACTTCTTAATTAACCATTTGACAAGTCAAATTCATCCTTAGAACTTCAAAAACATTTCTATAACAAAAGTTCATTTCTAAACTCTTAATAGAAATTCCTTTCTAATTTTCTCCTCTTAGTGTTTTAAGCTTATATAAGCTTTCCTTAAGCTTATATAACACTCAAGGAATAAAACTCAACTCAAATATTCAAGAATTAACTATCAAAATTAAAAATCACCTTTGAGGCTTAAGCATGAACACACGAGAAGAAAAAAGAATGAAGAAAAAGAAGAGTTCCATTCAACTCTCCAACCCACGTGTTATATCTCCCTAAATAAGGGATATAAAATATCCTCCTAACTAATTTACCATATTTCCCTTGTAATCCTTTCATAATTACCCTTTAATCCAACACTGAAATATTCTTATTAAATCCTTAAACTTTTCAATTTTCTTAAATTGATCCTCAAATTTCAAAAATTCTCATTTTAGTCACTGACCCGGATTTCGGATGTTACAACCATGCCTTCAAATTTGACTGAAGATTACATGCCGCTACCGTCAGATTATAACTATTACGGCTCCGATCATCAAACTGTCATGGACGCTTCATTCGTGTCGGTTTTATCAACACCTTCGTCGAGCTCGACATGCATCAACGGTAGCATCATTACCGAAGACGAAAGAGACGGCTACGGCAGCAACAATTTGGATTTCGAAATCTCAGATGTTTTGGACGTTAATGGTTTTATGTAATTCCAAGATCAAAACTAAAAACAGAGTTTTTATACGTGTACACTTCTCTACTAGTAATTAATTTTAATTAAGATTACTGTATTATGAAGCAAGATCATATTTATTTCTTATCATATATTATTAGTCATCTTACCATATATTATACATATATTCAATTCATATGAAATAATGGACAAACAGATGAGAATCTTGTTCCCGAAAAAGTGTATTCACTAATAAAATAATGAATCAAATCATACCTAATAAGATGATGTTGTTGGCTTTGTTCGCCAGATTTATGGTACTATTTATGCTTAACAGTTGCTTACAAATACGGATTAAAGATAATTTTAAAAATTCAATACATTACTTTTATAAATTATTGAATAATATATTAAATTGTAAATATATTTTTAATGTTTTCTATTTAATAAATATAAAAAGCAACAATGATATCATATCAACTGACATTGAATATCCCGACAGAAAGTCAAGTTCCGGCTGGATTTCCGGCCATGACGGCGTCGGATGTAGTGAAATCGGACATGTATCTGTGCCGACTGTAAGAGCAGCTGTCTGGAAGAATACGGTAATGGAACGGGGTTTGACCTAGAAAAAGAAAGAAAGGCACCTGTCGATCAACTATAATGGCATACATATAAATTTCAACACTAAAATTAATGTAAAAACTAAAATTCAATAATATCTGATATAATTTTCAAAGTATAATTTTAAATTATGTTCTTATGATATAGTCTAACAATGTAAGATGGAACGTGAGACATCTCTATACACTAAATACAGTGTAAGCGTCACGTCATTTATACGTCAAACATCGGATTTGTTTCTGAAATTTAACTAAATAGGATTTTGGACTATTTTGAGAATTTTACGGTACAATCACTTATAATAAGACTAATATAAGGTGCGACCTAAAATATTATAAAGTAATATAATATTTTAGGTTGTATGTAATTTAAAATGTAATTTTTTTAGTTGCATACATATTTTAAGTTGTAACCGAAAATGTTACCATTTTCATAATAGTTTAGGTTGAAATCGAAAATGTTAAAAAATTATGATCTTTTAGGTTGCATGCAACCTAAAATATTATATTGTTTATAATATTTTTGGTCGCGCTTTATAATATTTTAGATTGTGTCTTTTTTTAGCCTTATATTAGGTCTCTTAATTTTACGCCGTTTGTACATTTTTCCACCTTCGTTTTTGTTAATTGATTGTAGTGTTAGTTTCAGGGTTATTTAAAAGTGTCTTTGAAAAATGATGTATAAATAAACTTTTAAAAGAGTTATTTAAAAGTGTACTTTAAAATTTAATTGTTTGAGATTACTGTTAAAAAGTGATTTTGAAAAGATAAAATGTCTATATAAACATTAAGTTGTAAATTAAAAATATAACATTTAAACTATATTTACACTTATATATGAATTATATCAATTTAAACTATCAAAAAAATTATTATTATATATGAATCATATTAATTTAAACTATAATAAATATATAAATAAAAAATTAATTATAATAAAAATATATTTATATAATTCACTATTAATATTTTACCATATAAATCATGAATTTTATTTATTTTGAAATAATTAAAATAAATTATTAGAAGTAATAAATTATTTTTTAAGGATGTTAGTACAAAATTATTAAAAAAATGTAAATATATAATTGAGTGTAATACATGCATTAGTAAGGGTAAAAATATAAATTTGCTTCTAAAAGTAAAGTTGGAATGAAAAAACTGGAAATTCTAGCTTTTGCGATTGGTTTGAAACATTGTTTCTACCTCATTTTTTCCTTCAATTTTACTTTTTTTTGGCGTTAGTTTTGCGGTCAAAACGAGTTTTTAGGCTAAAAATGCTTTTAGACATCATTACTAAGCGAGGCCTTAGTATTAGTTGTGGATTGTTGATTTTTTTATTTTTTTTTTTATATTGTATCCTTATCTTTTTTTGATAACTTCATTTTTATGGTATATTTTCCTCCACATTTTGACACAATTTCAGTCTTTTTATTGGTCATTTGATTATTCTCCCCATTTAATTTTTGGGTAAACTACAAAATTGGTCACTTTTGTGTGAGTTTTATAAACATTTCCTCACCGAATTCAAAAAACATAATATTTGGTCACTTTCGTTTTGTTTTAATTAAGATATGTTCACTGAAGGTTGACTACAGTTAAACCTTTAATGGTCTGCTGACTGGCATAGTAAATATATAAAATTAAAATTACATCATTTATGTGTAGATAATACGTGGATTAAGTTTTGATCATTTTCCTTTCATATTTGTACACTTTTGCTCACTGGATTAAAAAACATAAGTTTTGGTCACTTACATTATCGTTTGATTAAGTTTTGGTCACTTGGACGTTGAATGTTGTTAATTTGATAACTTGACTTGTTAGTGAAATGATTTAATTTTTATTTTAACTCCTAAACTTTAGATAAAATATGATTATGGATCTTTTTATAAATTCAAATTAGTTTAGGGATAATATTTTAATTTATCAAAATTTTAATATTTTCTCCCCAACCCTTAATATTGCTCATCTTCTCCCCTCTTCTTCTTGAAACATCTCTACTCCAAAGAATCTTCTTGTTTCTAATTATTAGTTGTAGTTATTTGAAGTCAAATTAGGTGAGTTCTCATTTTGTAAGAAAATTTATAAAAAGAAGTAATGAAGATCATGAAAATACGGAGAATTCACCATCAAAACTCAGAAAAGATTCACCACCACGACGATGCCATCGTCTTGAGCCAAGAAAACTAGAGCTTCTTCAATAGTGTCATTATTGATGACACAATCCAAGTTTCCATCTCCGATGCGTTGTTGACCAACAAAATTCTCGTGATGAAAAAGATTGTCGATAATGTTTTGTTACATACGAACATGATCGACCCCCACGATATTTATGAAGATCAAACTGGCGTTCACTTAGTAAAACTCTTCTCGGCTATGAGTTGTTCGATCAAGTTGTCTAAAAAATGAGGTACTCGAAGGCTGACGCAGTGGTACGACAGATTATGTAGGCCGAGGGGTTAACAATGATTTATAAGGTGAACATTGTTCATAAGAATCTAGAATCGAAAAATTGCTTGTTCTTGAGCCAAACAAAAAAAATCGATGTTGAAGAATTGATTTTGGATTGAGTTCAATGGATGAATTCACGGATCCAGTTATTAAGTTGTTTGGACCTATTGATTATGTTTCATCGGAGGCGTTTTCTCAAGGGAAAATCACCACGAAGAGTTATATTTGGTTATCGGGTTATTTGGATCCATTGGTTTGTTTTCTTGTTCCTTACTGGATTTGGTATTATGCAATCTCAATATATGGAAATTGAATTTTAGTTCGTATAATTGAGATTACCCAGCTTCATTTTATCTCTAGATGTATGCCCTTTAATTTTACTTGTGGTGTTTTCTTGTGATGTATTATGCAACCTCCAAAATCTCTTTTTATTGCTTCTGAAAACTGAGAGAAAAAAGTCCTTTTCTATTATATTTCATTCGGATTTATAAAAAAAATCTTAAATAGATTTAGCATAAAATAATAAAACTAAAACCAAATCTATGCTAGGTTGCGACTTGCAATGAGTGTTAGGTTTTAATGCCTTGGATTTTTAGGGTTTATGTTAGATTTGTTCTAACTCCTCTGCTTTTTCTTGCTGTTGCTGAGATGATAACAGTGGCACAATGAATACAACAAGCCCTATGGACGACGACAACAACAACTGAAGTAGGGGAGACAGTGGCGGCTGTAGCATCATACCTTAGGATTAGGGTTTTAAAAACCTTAGGGGTCGGGTCGGATCCCGGTCGGATCCTGGATTGCTTTGTCTTCGGGTTGGATCTGAAACTGGGTCGGGTTTACTAGCTGTTGGGTTGCGTTTTTGGGTCTTCGGCTGGGACTGTTGGGTTACATGCTTTGTAATTGGGCTTCGGTGTAACCTGGTTTGGGCTTCACTTGGCCTGCAAAAACAATGTAACATGTAAATAAAAATACTAACAATAATAATAATAATAGTAATAATAAATAACTAATAATAATATGTATATAGTCTTTTTGTAGACCCAGACAAAAATGGGTGTTTACAAAGAGTTATTTAAAAGTGTAATTTAGAATTTAATTGTTTGAGATTACTGTTAAAAAGTGGTTTTGAAAAGATAAAATATCTATTATAAATATTATGTTGTAAATAAAAAATATAGTATGAATATATCAATTTAAACTATAATAAATTCAAAAAATATTATTATATATGAATCATATTAATTTAAACTATAATAAATATATAAATAAAAATATAATTATAATGAAAAATATTTTATATAAGTCACTATTAATATTTTACCATATAAATCATGAATTTTATTTTGAAATATTTGAAATAATTAAAATAAATTATTAAAAGTAATAAATAATATTTTAAGGATGTTAGTACAAAATTATTAAAATAAAATGTAAATATATAATTGAGTGGAACACATGTATTAGCAAGGGTAAAAATATAAATTTGCTTCTAAAAGTAAAGTTAGAATGAAAAAGCTAGAAATTTAGCTTTTGCGAATGATTTGAAACATCGTTTCTACCTCATTTTTTTCTTCAATTTTTACCTGTTTGGCTTTAGTTTTACGGTCAAAACGAGTTTTTTTTTAACTAAAAATGCTTTTAGACAACATTATTAAGCGAGGCCTTAGTATTAGTTGTGGATTGTTGATATTTTTTATTTTATTCTTTTATATTGTATCCTTATCCTTTTTTTATAACTTTGTTTTTATGGCATATTTTCCTCCCCATGTTGACACAATTTCAGTCTTTTTCTTGGCCATTTGATTATTCTCCCCATTTAATTTTTGGGTAAACTACAAAATTGGTCACTTTTGTGTTAGTTTTATAAACTTTTCCTCATTGAATTCAAAAAATATAATATTTGGTTACTTTTGTTTTGTTTTAATTAAGATGTGTTCATTGAAGTTAACTGTCATTAAACCTTTAATGGTTTGTTGA